CAGTGCTTTCAATGGTTTTTCTTACCTTTTTCCTGCTCTGTATGGCTTGTTCTGTCCACAATAGTTCCATTCCTATATGATCCTTTAATTGATGAAGTTTGACAGGATCAGTAGGGAGGTCATGCTTTAACTCTTTGTCAAGTCCTGTATCTGGAGTAAGATCAGAGATCAGAAATCACAAATCAAATATCCGAGATCAAGAGAGATCAGAGAACAGGATCAGGGAACTGATAAAGAGGTGATAGATCAGAGTTCCAAGGTCAGGGATGAGGGCAATAATGGAGTTACAGATCAGAGATTAAAGGTCATAGTTAAGAGTATTAATAGAGATCAGAATTCATGGGTCAGAGTTCAGAAATCAGAGCTTAGAGTATTAAAGATCATAGTTCCAATCTCAACTATTTATGAAATTGTTGTTTGGCCACCCAAAATCATAAAACAGTTGCCAGAAATAATAATTAGTTGGTGAGTTTGTATGTTATGTACTTTTATGCAAATAAGGCCTCCGATGATTTCTGTTGGTTACCAGTCTGTCAAGCTGAAATAAAGTTAGCTTCCAAAAAGGGTAGACAGGCAATAGATGATTTTACAGTTGAGTACTTAGTTGCCAAGCCTTTGATTTATGATGAGGCTGAAGGTGACCTTGTTGTGATTGAGACCATCATCTAGTTAGCATGATAACAAAGTAACTTACATTTGAAAATTAACAATGTTTGCATCATAACAAAGTCACCTTCAACCCCACTCCTGTTCAAAGGCTTGGCAATCAACCATGCAACTCTAAAATGGACTATTGTTTTTGGAAGTGAAAGCCACATCTCACAGCTTAGTTATGGAAGTACCAAGAAGAAATTCCAAACTTTATTAGAAAAAAAGAATACTATTTCATGTACATCCCAGAAGTGATTAACATGTAACTTCTCCCTATAATATCTATTGAATATCCAGCAAACAGGTCATGAGAATACTCAAACTTATCAGCTAGAAGTTGTTATCTTGATAACTCTCGAAACTAATCCTCAAAGAATGTGAAGCAGCTAAAGGGGAGAATTAACAATCAGATCTTGGGAGTCAAGGGGTTAACGTAATAAAAAACAAAATAAATAATAAAAACATCATAGCCTTTTACTTGACCCCCAAACATATGTTGCCAAGCTGATGAAATAGTGGGGGAAGGGGGGGGGTTATCTTACGATGGAATGCCATCCTATTAAGGCTGAGGGGGGGAGTAGTGATACTCTTAGTCACTACATGCTATGGAAACCAGAATAAACTCTGGCTGAATGGGCCACTGGGCTCAGGTATGATCTCATTACTAATTCTCCTTTCTGTCTGCCAAATGATTCTCATTATGTTAGTTTGGAGAATTTGTTATTGGATCAATTAGTAATCCCATAATTGATATTTTTCTTAATTCTCATCACTTGTCTGCATGATATTGTATAGATATAGTAAGGAGAAATTCTGTCTTGGTCACTCACAGGAGTTGAAGGGTTATGTATCGAGATTGTGGTAAGAAATTTCTATTTTGTCACTCCTGAGAGTGAAGAGGAAAAGGAACCAATGAAATGCATCTATAGATCATCTCACCAAATGATTTATCAGTCAACCAAGTGTCACTAAGAAGCGCTTGTTCCCTCAGATGTGGTGTCCTGGACACATATTCTCGAAGCGATGCCTCAGATGCACTGTCAGGTGGTCCAAAAGACCTCCTCATCTCTTGTTCATTCTGCCACCCAGGGTTAACAGTACTGTTAAGGGGGAAATGTGGCTCTCTGATATGGCGAGATGTTTCAACTGGACTACCATGTTGAAAAGTTAGTTCTGCATTTGCATTAAACAAATTCTGCCTTTCCAGATTTTGTCCTCCAAATAATGAAGCTTCTGTATCTGGCTTTTCCACCTGTAAGGAAGTTGTTCCATTTTGTAAACCAAACACATGGTTGATATGCAATTCACTACTGCAGTTAACACTTTCAGGGTTTGACGCATCAGGAATAGGCCTTTCTGGAAGTAGTCCTTCATCAGCGTCATACCTTTCACCGTCATCATGTTCTTTTAGTCTAGAATTCGCATCTACCATCGTTTTACCCTCTAGCTCTGCAGTACTTATCTTAAGATATGTCTCTGACGCTGAATTAAGCCTTTCGAAGCTTGAATCTTGAGGAACAGGGTTTTTTATAAGAGGATCACCCTCGCAGTTGTCATCTACATCTGATGAACCAGAACCTTCCTTGATGAGATACGTTCGTTTCGATTCATCGTCACTTTCTCCGTCTAGGCCTGAATTACTTTTCTCTATTGCTTTGTCTAGTCCTTTAGGATCCGTACTCATCAAAGGAAGCCCTGGAACTTGTGTCTTCCACCAGACAAAGTTTGTATCATTTTCCAGCTCACTCAAAATTTCCTCAAATTCTTTCCGGACTTCGAGTAACTTTTTACGCACAAGAAACCCCCGCACGCCTGCCTGTTTGATTTAAAAAAAAGAATTAATATGTAAAAACTGAAATTTTAATTTTTCTCGCGAAATAATCCCCTGTGGCTCGCCAGGAAGTTTTGAACTAACCTGCAAAAGTATAACTTTGTTTACACTCAAATCTGCCGCCATCTTTGCAAGATATCGCCGATGCGCATACTCACTCAGACAGTATTATCGCTGGCTCATCCACAATGGCGGACAATCGAAAACAACAGCTGTACTGAGAATGATGCGTGGTGTTAGCTAAGACTCTTCCTCAAATCTGTGGTAAAGATGGCGAAAAGCCATAACGGAAATGGAGAAAAGCCCATCAAGTATGAGTGTATGTATATTTACTCTCTGACTTTTGATATTCTCGCCCAGATTCTGACAGTTTTATCCCTGATATTTAGAATCGTCAGCAATTTTTTATGGTTGCTACAAAAGATACTGCTGTGCCTCAGTCAAACGTTAATTTAGCCCTTTAATTCCCAGAAGTGATTTATATATAACTTCTCCCTATAATATCAATACATTATCCAGCAAACAGAGAATACTCAGAAACAGAGAATACTCAGACTTATCGGAGAGAAATTGTTATCTTTATTTAACACCATATTCTCCTAACTAATTTACAAGGAAATGTGTAGCAAGTAGTGAGGAGAATGAACAATTAGATCTTGGGAATTTAAGGGTTAGCAAGAGTCAAACAAGCAGCAACAAATTTTTTTGGATATTTTTGACCATATCAGTGATTCTGACTTGGAAGTTAGAAGTTCTTGATTGTACATTTTGTTTTATTTTACTACAGATTTAGATCACACAGCTGATGTTCAGTAAGTGCTGCTTTCCTTGCTTCGTTTGGGGCTGTTAATTCTTGTGTCAGAATTGACTATGTATAAAAATGAGTAAAAGCGATCTTAGGAATTTCCGTACCTGCAATCAGCTTTGCATTTGTCTCAAGTTTGTCAAGTTATTGTCAAGGTTGTTTGGGTTGAATGAAAAATCAGAGATGATAAAGAAAATTAATTATTGTCGGGTAAGGAGTAGGGAAAACATTTTGAAGGGGTAAGGGTTAAGGAGAAGGTATTAAAGGGTGGAGAGTGTGGAGAAAGTTTTTGAGTGGTAAGGAGAAGGTTTTTGTGGGGTAATGCATAAGGAGAAAGTTTTTGAGGGATAAGGGGTAAGGAGAAAGTTTATGAGGGGCAAGGAGTAAGGAGAAGGTTTTTGAGGGGTAAAGAGAAAGTTTTTGAGGGGTAAGGAGAAGGTTTTTGAGGAGTGAGATGAAAAGCAAAAGTTTTTGAGAGGTAAGGAGAAGGTTTTTGTGGGGTAAGGGGTAAGGAGAAAAGTTTTGAGGGGTAAAGGCTAAGGAGAAAGTTTTTGAGGGGTAAAGGGTAAGGGGAAGGTTTTTTAGGGGTAAGAGGTTAGGAGAAGGTTTTTGAGGAGTGAGATGTAAGGCAAAAGTTTTTGTGGGGTAAGAGGTAAGGAGAAGGTTTTTGTGGGGTAAGGAGAAGGTATTAAATAAGGTGGAGAGCAAGAAGAAAGTCTTTGAGGGGTAACGGGTAAGGAGAAGGGATTAGATGGGTGATGAGTAAGTGGAAGGTTTTTGTGGGGTAAGGTGTAAGGAGAAGGTTTTTGAGGAGTGAGGTGTAAGGCAAAAGTTTTTGAGGGGAAAGTGGAAGGTTTTTGAGGAGTGAGCTGTGAGGCAAAAGTTTTTTTGGGGTAAAGGGTAAGGAGAAGGTTTTTCAGGGATGAGGGGTAAGGAGAAGGTTTGTTAGGGGTGAGGAGAGGGGTGAAGAGAGAGCTGTGGGGGCATACAGGTGAGAAAAAGGTTTGCTAGGGCTTTGAAGGTGAAGTAAACATGGATATATGAAGGAGGGGTCGGTAAGGGGTGAAGAGAACTATTTTGGAGCACAAAGGAATAGGGTGAAAAGGTTGAATTGCAAATTCAAAAACTTAAACTACTGTAGGAGCAGAGATATTCTTCAAGCAATCCCCTAACTCATTATCCTTAACCCCTAAGATTGACTAAGAGTTTCTAATTTCTCCTTACAGTATCCCTCTCGAATCAAATGCTAAGGTCATGAGAATAAAGGAAATGATCACCAATTTAAGAAGCACCTGATTGTCATACAAACTCTCCTTATCAGTGCTGTAGGAAATATAAAGAGAACAGTGATGAGAATATGAATATTAAAAGTGGGATGTAAAAGAGTGAAGTGTATCCTTTTCCCTTTAACTCCCAGATCAAATTTGTCATTCTCCTTACTGTTAACCATACAATTCTTATAATGTTAGTTCAGAGAATTTATTATTGGATCAACTAATTATCCCCAAATTGATATTTTCCTTTATTCTCATCATTTATTTGGTTGATAGTGTATTGATGTTGTCAGGAGAAATTCTGTCTTGGTCACTCATGGGAGTTAAAGGGTTAAAAGTAAAGGAGGGCATTTGGAGCACTGTAATTGTATGACTGGTTGAATTACACAGTTTAATTTGTTAGTGTTTCAAAAAATGTAAAGTCAAATTTCTACAAATTAGAACGCTAATGAGTTCTTTTTGTTTCAATATCTTGCAGACTTCATGCTTGTATCCTTTAAAATTTTGTGACTGTGATAGTGTGGTCTGATCGCTCAGGTGAATGCAGTCCTGAGAAGGGCTTTTGTCTGTAGTGGATACTGACATTTCAACAACCTGAGTGGATATCATCATCAGGGTCCAGTGAATAGTTGTCGTCAGTTGAATGTTTTAAGTGCAGTTTGCATAAACTGATTGGTTAGTTTTGTTTTTGATGTTATTGGCTGTAAGACTCAAGTGGTGTAGTTTGTGATTGGTCAGTCTCTATCCTTTGGTAAAGTTAGGCCATTCTGTTTGGTTTGTTAGTGATGTTAAAGTCATGGACGAGTCATTTGTATGGTGCTGGTAATAGCTGACACCTGTTAAGATTGTCCCAGTGTCAGTCACCACGATTAACAACAGTCCTTCTCAGGACTACACTCACCAGGACCATCAGACTACATGATCACGTGTTACCCCTGGGTTCAAACCATTCACTGTAATTTTCGGATTGTAACTAAGGATTCAACTATGTTAACTACATAAATGATGAAATGTGGTTTCCAGTCAAGTTGTGGATGGTTCAACTCGCCAACGCCAACTTCTCGACAAATAAAAATCGAGTAGAAAAGTCAGCAAGTTGGTCTTCAATCCACCACAACTTATTAGAAGTTAAACATGTAGGAAAGTAAAAGATCTTTGGTAAAAAACAATTTTTTTTCTTCCAACAAAGTTTATAAGGATCTCATTGCAAATAAAGCAAGGTAAACATCGCCAATGACCATAGATGCTTCAGATGCAAACAAGTTATTGTGTGACAACAACACTCAGAAGAGACTCATCATGTCAATCAGTCAGATTTATTTTTAAGAAAACTTGGCTTTCTAGACAAGATCTTCAGTAAAAAACAATTCTTTTATTCTCTCTTTACAACAACCATGTACTACCAATATTTTTAAAATGAGACAATTTTTCTTAATTCTAATTATTGCTGTTCCATCAAGGGGGTGATGATTTGAAGGAAGCTTTTGAGCAGGTATTGAAACTACTAGGTAGATATTGGGGTTTGTACACTCTGTTTGGTTGACATACTTTGTAGCAAACGCAAAGATGGATTTTCAAAATTTAATAATTTAACCAGTGGTTTCTGAAATACACGAAGAAATTATTTAAAAAGCAGTAATTTATAATGATAACAAACAAGGTAAATGAAAATGAAACAAAGAAAGGACAGCAAGAACATACCTGACAGTTAGAATACTTGAATATAATACTTAATAATATATTAATTAATAATTATGAATAATTCTAATATTAATATATTCATAACAATACTTGAATGAAATGACATGGAGATGCTCAAGAAAAAATTTGACTGCTAATTAATAATGGCGTGAAAAATTATTTAGATATGCTGATACAGCGCAGAGATTGGAGACCTTGAAATGGCTAAAAGATGTTGCAACATACTTGTCATTTCAAAAGAAAGCAAATGAATAAGCACTCAGATATAGAAAATTCCCAAAACATTTTCAAGAAAATTAGACATTCCTTTCTTACAGAAGTAAAGAGTTTCTTTGCTTTTTCAATTCTGAATCTTACTTAACCCTTGAACTCCCTTGATCTTGATCTGATTGTTAATTCTCCTCAGTAGCTGCTTTGGTGTTAGATCAAGATAACAATTTCTACCTGATTAGTCTGAATATTTTCATTACCTATTTGCTGTATAATGAATGGATAGTACTGCAACTGCTGTAAAAACAAGCAGATAAGCCGCACCCTGAATTTAGCTGCTCAAATTTTGGGAAAAAAAGGTTTTTTGAAAGAATCAAAAGAAATCCAAAGTCAAGTCTTGAGAAGTCTTCTTCATCCACTGTTCATCAAACGTAAACTCACTATTACACTGCATTCTAGTGACGATTTTTGGAAAAAAGGTGCAGCTTATCTGCGGGTTTTTACTGTATATGCTAAATAAGTGCCCTTTAACTCCCATGAGTGACCTGGACAGAATTTCTCCTTACAGTATCAATACAATATCAAGCAGAAGAGTGATGAGAATAAAGAAAAATATCAATTAGGGGATTATAAGTTGATTCAATACCAAACTCTCCAAACCAGCAGTATAAGAATTGTATGGTAAACAGTAGGGAGAGTTACTAATGAGATCTTGGAGATGAAAAGGTTCATCATGATTGATTCAAAAGAGCAGACAAGGGCAGAGTGCGAGTCTAATTTGTTTATCACAAGTATGAATACCAACAGAGTTGGATCATAGCAAGTCCTGCTTCTGATTAAACAAACCTGTGATAAGATCTGGGAAACAAAATACCCAAGGCCCACATAAAACAGAGGGATTCACTTTCTTCTGTGGAACTTAAATCCACAAGTCTATATGACTGAGCATGCAAACAATGCTGTCTGTTTTATTACGCATGACAGATAGTTAAAAATTGTTGTGTTTCACTGTCCTATTACAAGCATTATACACATTTATACAGTTTACCATCCTATTAGTGTTAATTTGGGCTGCTGGTGACCAAACATTTTTGAGAATTTTGTTACAGTTTTGGTTACACCTTTGATTGGAAATAATATTTTGCCATTGCTAGTGCATCCCTCAGTTTTTAACTTAAGTTTGTAATTTCTTTTTGATACTTTACAAGGTAGCAACAGCCATGTTTGGTTATATGACAGAGTTAACTGCTGTTGAAATTGAAAAAACAATGGAAATCACAGCTCAAGGTAAGGTGACCATTATCCCTTTGTAGGAGTAACTAGCATCTAATTTCTCCTTACATTATCATCCTTGAATCAAACATTAAGGTCATGAGAATAAAGGAAATGATCACTGACAAAAGAAGCTCCTGATTGTTAAACAAATTCTCCTTGTTATAACCTTAGGAAATGTACTGAGAACAGTATAGAGAATATTTATGCTGATGTTGGGGTGTAGAGGGTTATGTTAAGCATATGCTGTCTATTTTACAGCTCATGTTTCTTCTCCATTAGGTGATGACATGATAAACTTGTTGTTCCATTTTCTCGACGAGTTCCTGTTCTTGATGTGTGATGACCCATACTTCATAGTTAAGGTATTGAAAAAAAACGTTATTTACCAGGAAAACTTTGCATTGTAGGAAATAACCTTTTGTCAACCCTTGGATCCCTGTGGTGCAAAACTTATAAGGTTGAGTCTACTTAAACCTTTAATTCCCAGAAGTGATCAAAATGAAACTTCTCCCTATAATATCCTTACATTATCCAACAAACAGGTAATGAGAATGTTCAAACTTATCAGGTACAAGTTGTTATCTTGATCTAACAACAAATTCTTGTAACTAATTTACAAGTAATTGTGTAGCAGCTAAAGGGGAGAATTAACAACCAGATCTTGGGAGTTAAAGGGTTAAAAAACAAATCCCTGTTTTGATGTTGTTTATTATCCTTTGTAAGTTACTAAATCAAGGATGTAGTGTTATTTTCATCACTTATTTGGCTTTCCCCTTTTTTCCCAGGAAGTTGAAATTTTAGAGTTTGATAAGGAAAACTTCTCAATAAGAGCAGTAGGGTAAGTAATTATTATTTAATTCACATCCAAGATCTACAATAAAATTTCACTACTCTGTACTCTGCAACATACATTTCCTCTCATTATGGCCTTGAGAATGTTATGGAAAATTCAACCAAAATATTCCCTGATAGATGTTCTCTTTTTCCTGGTCACTTTTCTCCTTAGAAATGTTTTTTGGTGCTACAGATCCAAAATAAGTTGGGGCTGAATCAGCCACTTGACTTGAGATCAGATTAGGGAAGAAAACAAACCCTTTGTCTTTTTTCTGTAATTCAAAAATTTTCATGTTGTGGTCTCTTATTTTACCCAGGAGAGGTGAACTTTTTGACCTTAACAAGCATCCACAGGTAATATTTTTTTCTTTTGTAGAAATTACAGCATTCAATGTCCAGCACTTACATGACTTGTATAACATTCATCTGACAAACAGGTCGCAAGTTCATTTCTATTCATGACTTTTGCTCAGGTCGAACACTCACACTTCGATGATCAAATTCTACAATCAAATCCCAAGAAGAGAATAATAGATTTTTAATCTTAATTTCTGTTCAAACCTCTGATTAGCATCTATTTTCTCCTTACAATATCACCCCTGAATCAAACATGAAGGTCATGAGACTTAAGAAAACAATAACCAACTAAAAAAGCTCCTGATTGTTATACAAATTCTCCTGGTCATCACCTTTTAAAATGTATAGAAAACAGTAGGGAGAAGATGCATACTGATGTTAGGCTGTAAAGGGTTAATGTTAATACATAGTTACTCTTACCCTTCTTAACTTCCTCGACAAAATCCTGAATTCACTCTGTGATAATATTTTTTAGTAATTGATCGATTGAATTTTATGATTTTCTTTCCTTTCAGGGAACAGAGGTGAAGGCTATAACTTACTCCAACATGCAGATTTATGATGAAAATGATAAGCATGAAGTTTATGTCATTATCGATATTTAAAAACCAAAAACCAAAGGCGAACTCTATGTGCTAATTATTCACTGAAGGTATGGTGAAGAGTGATGTAGTCATTACATGTACCAACGTAAGTGAGTAGCAGATGGTCAATCAGTTCCATTTCCAACTATTTGTTAAAGGCAGCTGGGAAAAAAACATAGTACCCACCAAACTGAAAAATCTTCACTATCATACTGAACTGTATTTTAATTTTCTCTCTTGCATAGAGAAGCTCACCCCGCAAAGAGATGTGAAATAAAAATTTTGGATAAAATACCACCTGCAACATTTCCTTAGTTTTTGTATTTTAAAACATACATATGCATTCTGCTATGGTGAAAGAGGCCTGTGAAGAAGACCCTCCTCTGATGAGGCCTGCCTACTACTTCCTTATTTAAACGACTCTTTCACCCCTTAAGTTTCATTAATAATTCTCCTTACCATCATTCATATAATCCCCATGGTACTAGTTGGAAGAATTTGGTATTGGATCAACTTATAATTTGCTAATTGATATTTTTCTTTATTCTCATCACTTGTCTGCCCAATGTTGTAATGACATTGTAAAGAGAAATTCTGTCCTTGTCACTCATGGGAGTTAAAAGCTTTTTTAAACATCCTTTTCACCCCTAGTGCAAATTGAGGCCATACCCAAGAAATGCTTGGTTTCCAATCGCCATTCCTCTCTTGAAAGTGGGTGGTTGGGTCGGTCAGCCA